TTATATATATTAGGTAAGACACTCAACTTTGAAGTGGTTTCAAAGTTCAGAATGTAAACTTTAGCACTATGAGTACTTGTAAATGAAACCATGTTATTGGATAATTAATTTTTCATTATCTGTTTAATCTTTTGTCTGAATGAAACCAATGTAATACGCATACATGCATTACACTAAACTCATGTGGTTTTTGTGAATCCCTGTTGACAATTGACCAATTGTAATGTTTTTCTTTTCAGTATGTTTTTTTTTAATTTTGTAGTGTCTAAATAAAGATTAATATAGAGTTAGCATTTTAGTCTTCCACTTTTTCTTTTCTTCTGCTTTCTTCTTAATTCTTGTCCTTTTACTGTTCTCTCTCCTTAATATTTTTTTCTTTCTCATATTCTTTCACACTCAGTAATCCCTTGCATCTTAGTGACTTTATTGCCTTGCTTGTGGTGAAATGATTAAAAAAAATGTGGTTGATACTAAATAGGAAATGACATGTTTAAAACTTACTTGAATAGTCAGATGTGAATGTTTATACTCATATGCCTGTGTAAGTGGATGGATATATTTTTTATAAGAATGTATGAAGAAATTTTGAAAAAACAAACAAAAATCCTTAAATGTAGTTAAAATGAAAGAAATGTCGACGTCTGACGTTTCGGTTTAATAAACCTTTTTCAAGACAATATTCATCAAAATACAATTCAGTTCAATATGACAAATAAGATGGACATAAAAACATTCTGTCGGATTTATATCCATTTACACTTGCTTATATAAGAATATATATATATATATATATATATATATATATAAAAATGTGTGTGTGTGTGTGTGTGTGTAATATATGTTTAAGCATGTATACATTGAGGGAGTGTTGAAAAGTTTTCAGCTTAATACACTACTTTTCAAATTCTAACTAAATGGCCAAACATCAGATGATTTTTTTTTTTTTTTTATGGACTGAGAACTTTTCACCATCCCTTCACACACATACATTTGTATTAAACTCCATATTTCTGCTGTTAGCCCAGAGAAACATATAAAGTTCATAATATATAAGAAAAAAAAAAGGTTTGTAACTTAGCTGATTGATGTTACTTTCAGCATCCTGACTCCAAAGTTTCTCGTAGATGGACCCTTTGGGAATCACTCTGTTCACTCTTCAGAGGGTATCAGCAGTTAACTGTTTATACTTCTTGATTTTTCATTTTTATATATGCTTTTCATTGGTGCAAGTTTTTTTTTTTGTTTTTTTTTTTGTAGTGTATATGTGCATACACCCATGTGACTAACACATGCACTGATTAGTAAATTTATATTTATTTACTGGCTTGTATATTTCCATACACTAATAACTTGGCTCTTGGTGCCTGATATATTACATTTAACATCTCTTTTTTTTTCCTTTTTGATTCCCAAGAGCATCAGTACAATTTTATCCTTTTTTGAAAAGATGCAAAATATTCAGAAACATTACACATTTTAAAAAATTGAACTGTTTTGAATTTCCAATAGTGATCATTTTGATAGTTAAAACTAATCAAGTGTTAAGAACATGTGTCCTATCATACATGTCTTGCAAGGGTATTTTGTCCCCTCATCACTAAACCCTGGCCATTTTAAGCCATTGTTGGTTGGTGTCTTAACCATATTATGAAGGCACTGGATTCACAGTAATAGTTTATCATTTTTTTTTATGTTTTCAATAATGTAAAGTTGTTTGTAACAGTGGAGTTAATCTTACTTATTATAAAACGCAGATTGTGTGTGTGTGTGTGTGTGTGTCTGTACGTTTATATATTGGATCGGATTTCCTACATTTTTCAACCGATTTCAACAAAACTTCACAGGACTATGTAAAATTACCTTGTGGTGGTTCTAACAGCACCAAAAATTGGAAAAACCCAATTGTTTTTGCACGAAATCAATTTGAAAACACGATTAAGAGGCATCACGAGAATGAAAAGGGGGACAACTCATATCGAGTTATACTTATTATAAAACCCAGGTTGTTTGTGTGTGAGTGTGTTCGTTTATATATGGGATCGGATTTCCTACATTTTTCAACCGATTTCAAGAAAACTTCACTTTTTTTTTTGGCAGGTAGTATTTCTTATTGTCTTACACACTTTTTTCTTTATTTTTACATTCAGAATGCTTTAAAAATTCCATGCAATTGGTAGACTCATAACGATTGAAAACTATGTTTTTGTTTGAGTTTGGCCAATTCGTAAAAAAAAAACTAATTAAGACATGCGTGTTTGTCAACCTTAAACAATAATCTTTGTCAATTTTATTTTTCAGTCTTTATGATGGTTGATACTTAATCTATCTCTTACTGTTACATCCCCGGGCAACACCGGGCTCTACTGCTAGTAATAAATATAAATAGTTCTACTTTTTATATCCTTTGTTTAATGTTTTCAGCTTGTTATTGTTATCAAAAAGGCCCTGTACACAGATATACAAAAGCTAAATATATAAAAATGACATTTGACAAACTTGGACATTTTTTTTCATTCACACTATTATTTTAAATACCTTCACTCCTTGACAATGTTTGCTTTAAAATGTGATGATTAGAATTGTAATAAAACATGATGAAAATGAATTTCTACATTTTTTATTCTCAAATTTACAGCAAAAATATTAAACACTATTTATTAGATTGTTTATTTACAAGAATAATTTTACATTTACAACATTCTAAAAACTAATAAAATTATATTAAAACTAATGCAATATTTATTCTTTACCAATTAATAAAGAAATAAATATGAAAACAGTTTTTTATTCATAAATTTATAAACATTTACTAAATTATTAAAATATGTGAATCAACTATAAAGAAATCCTTATTATCATTTTATGAAGTTCAAATTGATTGTAAATTAGCCAATATTTTGCCAAACAATTTAATAAATAGTAATAATTCTTGTTTGTTCTCAAGAACAAAGATGTATAAATTCACTTTCATATATTATGGTTTTATTACAATAATCACTTTTAAAAACATTTTAATAATAATATTTTAATAATCACTTTTAAAAACATTTTAATAATAATATTTTAATAATCACTTTTAAAAACATTTTAATAATAATATTTTAATAATCACTTTTAAAAACATTAAGCATTGATTAAGAGTGAAGGTAGTTAAATTAAGAAGCAGTGTCATGGGAATAAAATGTCCTTTTTGACATTTTGTTCTTTTTTGCAGGCACAAAGGTCCAACTTTGTCAAACATTTTCTTTAAATTTTATGATGATAATTCATTTCTTTTTAATTCACTTCAGTCTATGTATTCATGTATGTATTTACTTATTGGGATATCTAATTTCAACCAATGTTTTTGTACAAATAATTCATAAATCTATGTGACAAAAGTAAATTATAATAATTTAGTTGTTATTTCAGTTTTATTTCTCATGAGTTTGTTTTGAATTTTTGTTTGTAATTTTTTCTACATGCAAGTCACTTTTAACTTTTTCTCAATGAATTTCGATAACATAGAGGTCATATAGTCAGGTTGAGATCAGTTGAAATATCTTCAAGGCATAAGCTTAGGTTATGGGTTTGTTAGCAATAATATTGAGGCTAGAATTTTTTTTTTTTTATATATATGTGTGCAGATAAAGTTGTATTTTTTTGGTTTGCAGGCTATTTTCCTCAGCATCAAGAGACATTTACTGGGTCTTTATAAAAATTATTTGACACTTACAAAAAACATAAAATACCCTAGAAATATTTTCTATTTGTGGAACTGTATTTTATTTTCAGTAGAGTTTATAGATTGTATATGAGATGACTATTTTTTGTTTAAAAGTGATTAGGCTATAAAAAGTGGTGGTTGTAGTTATCTCTCCTATTGCCACTATCAGTACCATCATCATGTAGATGCAATTTTAGTGCTAAATATAAAATCCTTGTTTAATGTTTTTCATGTGAACAGTTGTGGATCTTAATACTTGCCTGTGTTTTTTGCTTATTCATAAGTCTGTCATTCCATCTTCATTGGCAGATTGTAAAAAGCTTATTAACTTGCACCAACTTAAGAAACTAGTAGCAGAGTATTGGCTGAGAGGTTTTATTTCTTACCAAAATACTTAGTTGTTGATGTTCATTTCCAGAGATACTGACAGAAGAACAAAAACAAAAGAAAACTAGCCACAAAAAATATTCCTGTTTCTAGCAATCAGTGTGTGTGTATATATATATATATATATATATATATATAGAGAGAGAGAGAGAGAGGATTGATGTGAGTTTGTGACTTGGGTTTCACACTATTTGCGATCGTCAGACAAACTCTTGAGTTTGTCTGACGATCGCAAATAGCATGAAACCCAGGGTCACAAACTCACATCAATCCAACTAAATACGTTAGGTCTATCACTGATATTGAGCACTTTCCAATAAGTATCGCACATATATATATATATATATATATAAAATAATGATGCAAAGTTCTTGGTCCAATCAGAAATCCCTTCCCTACTTTTGATGTTTGGTTACATTTTGGGAAATTGATTGGCATTGAACCTTTCAGCACCCACTTTTAATTATGTGACAATATATTGCTGAATTTATAATGTTTTATATACAAGTTACATTGAAAAATGTATTGTAATTGCATATATTTTTTTTTTCATTTTTTTTAAATCTTTTTTTTTAAAGACTTAAATGGAAATGAATCAAGATTGTTTAGAATAATTAAAGTTGATTGATATTTAGCATTTCTTATATGCATCTACATGATCATTTTTTGGAAAACAATTTTTCTTCATGGGCTTTTTTTTTTTTTTAATGCTATGAGATTTGTACTTGTGAGACTTTGACTGTATGTGTATAAGATTTGCTTACTACACCAAAATTTATTTTTTAAATCCTGGGTTCTATTTTGCTAACTGCCATGATACTAGTTTCCTTCTTGCTAGATTATTTTGATAATCATTGAATATCTTGCAAGATTTTTTAAAAAATCTTGGTGTACAATATGAGTGCAAATGTCTGTTTTTCTTGTTTTCCTTTACATTTTTTGTATCTTACATTGCTCATCTTGTTTTGCTCTTCCCTTTCTTTTCCTATTTCCTTCTACTGTTTCATCCATGTTTTCTATTTTCCTCCTTTATTCCTTTCTTTTCTCACTCCTTGCATCATTTTTTTTTCTTTGTTCTATTGCCTCCCTTTCCCCATCTCTTTGCTACTTTTCTCCCTTTTGCTCTTTCCCCACTCTCTCTTCTCCCACCGCTTTCCCCCTCACCAATTTCTTTTCTTACCTTTCTTCTCCTGATTTCTTTTTTACCCCCCCTGATTCCTATCTCACCATTTTGCTTTCTTTTTCTCTCTCTTCGTCCATTTCCTTTGCTAATGCTCTTTTCTTTAACACCTTTTCTTCTGGGTTTTCTTTTTTCAGTACCATTTGTTTCCCTTTTATGTCATTTTTCTCTTTTTTCCTTTCTATCATACTCCCACTACTTTAGGCCTCTTTTTTTTCTTTTTTAAATACTTTTCCCACCAAAGTACACTTTGCTCCTTCCATCAGTGTTTTTATGTATGTTTGATCAAAAACACAGAACTGCCACTGATAGACAGTTCATAAAGGGTTAACAATGGGTGAATAAAAATGCTTTTCTTTCTTTTTATTTATTTATAAGTTTTAAAATATAAAAGATGACAAAGGCTTTTTCATTTTAAGGCTCAACATTTTGAGTCTATAATACAAAAATATTAATTTAAGAGAAGTATTTGTCTAGATTCTCTCCATAAAAGACAGGTGGAATAGCAGGTTATCCTGCTTCAGAGTGGTTTGCTTGTAGGATAACTTACTCACTGGATCTCAGTGTTTAGTGGGATTTTTGTCAAAAAGAAATTCCTTTGGCAAACAAACTTTTCACGTTTGTACATGAATACAAAAAATTGCTTTGAAGATTGTGGAAAATATTGCTTTTAGATGAGATTCTGAAAAAACAAAAGAATTATGGAGTCTGAGATCCTGATGATCCAAACTGCAAAATTCTGTGTATCTTTTCAGAAATACATATAAACACACTTATGTGCTTGTTTGTGTGTAAAATATATACTGCATCTCATATATTAGCCACTTTTAATTTTTCTTAATTTTTAAAAAACTAAAAAAAGATTCACAGAAATATTTGCATTATTAATGTGCAGGATATGTCACATAATATGCATAAATAAGCTACATGTAACTTTTAAGATGTGGCAATTGTTTTATTAATTTTAGCAAATTTTTCAAGTTTCACCAGATTACTGAAACTCCAAGAAATATTTAAGTTAATATTATAATTACAAATCATACACAAAGTTTACAAAGACAAATGTTTTAAATAAAAATAATTGAAAACAAATTCCATTGTAATGGTGATTGTTTTAAAGACAACCTTGAAATAGTTTTAGTTGTTCATCCACTGATTTTTTATGAGCAGTTTGTATTGTGTTTTATACAAACTACACAGCATCCAGAATAACATTCTAAAATGCATCTTTGATGGTAAATTGTCATCCATCAATATAAACCTGTCACTTCATCGAATTAATATATTTGAAACTTATTCAGATATAGTTTTCTTCATTAAATGTAAATGTATACATAAGTCATCTTCTTTCTGAAAGTGTTTGCCTTCTTCTTGAACTATTGCACTATGTGTGCCTTCAAAAAATTCAATATATGTCTGATCTGTCATCTTAACACTATTTGGAAATCACTGTGCCCACCAGTTCACCAATCATCTTATTCGAAAATAAAGTGAATGAGGTGTGATGTTGACATTTCATCCTCATTCCACCAGCAGCCAATCAATCTTTGTTCCATTAAGGTTAGCATTGCATTCATTGGTGAAAATAACAGTTGAAAGATTACTTTTCATGTATTGTCCATTTCATTATGGATGTCTTTTAACGGGGGCCCTAGTTTTACATGTTTTACCACTTGATTTAGTACATAGCATATTGTGCTTTTTGATATTTCTTCACTCCTAGTACAATGTCTTAAAATTTCATAGCTTGACAAAGATGGATATTTTATAACTTCTCTCTTGATTCAGGACATGGATTGGTAAGATGAAAGTCATCACCTTGCCCATCACCTCTTTTTTCAGTATTTGCTCAATTATTTTCTCTTTTTGTGTACCACAACTATTTTTATTATGCTTTTCAAAATAAAATTGGCATTAACCAATTGATGTTGGTAAATCAGGATATATTTTTAAGGGCAGTCTATTGTGTGAATTTCAGTTTATAATATCTAAGAAATATTCATAATTTTTGTTGGTGTCAGGTTTTATTATTCAAAGAAATTAAAATATAGATCATGGAAACATGTAATATCCAATATGTCTGAATAAATTATTTTATCAATTTACATGTTAATGGGCTCTTTGATATTCTATAACCTTCATCAATCTTTCAATCATTAATCTTAACTTTTCTACTGTTTTAACTTTAACATTACCTGCAGCAGTTTTTATTACTTTTCAGTGATCTTCTTTGCTTGAATATTGTTTCTATCCTTATTTACATCTCTTAATGATGGAACATACATTTTCTATAGAATTAATAATTGAAGAAGTCTAGGACCATTCTATTAATTTCGTGACTTTGAAACATTTTCTTGCAATATGGGCAGTAGTCACCTTTGAAAAATGGGAAAGAACATTGATTTGGGTGAATATATACTCTATAATTTCAAGTTTTTTGGCTGTGACTTGTCTCACTTGAAAATGTTTTGTCATTTGAATTTATCTTTATGCCTCATCTACTTTGAAGCCATCTATAATTTTACTGCCTACAATACTTGTCCAAAATATTGGACACTTCCTTATGGTTGTCTTCTAAGTAATCCAAAACAGTGTTTGTAATGTTATTGGTCCTTGACTTGGTATCTTGACTTCAATCACTTTCCCACCACCATGACATGACTTCCCAGTGTATTTTCTATAGATATTTTTGTGGCAATTGTTTTAATGAGCTTTCATCCCTGATACTTTGACCATATGAATTTAAACATAGTTAGATTGACAACTAGATTTCATCATAAATTCTAATAGTTTCTTCCCACATATTTCTCATTTGTGGAACTCTCTTTTGGTTTCTTGCTTCCCTGTCACATATAATCTTCAAAAATTTAAATGCAATGTTAATTACCATATTCTGTTTTCCTGATTCATATTCTTTTATTGTATTTCTCCTCACTAATGTTTTCGCATTATCTTTCACTCTCATTAAGCATTTGTCTTGCTTGGGGTGAAATTAAAAAAAAAAAAAAATTTTATATATATATATATATATATATATATATATATGATTGTTGACTATATCAATGAAGGACTCAACCTTTTGCCCAATCATCAGATCCATCCAGTGCAACTCCATGTTCATTAATAAAAATTACTGTTAAATCATTTTCATGTATTTCTTTTCTCATCTTGCATGTTTCTGTATTTGCTGTTTATAGATTTTAGTTTGGTTGCATTCATCTCTTTAGTCAATATTCTTAATATTCTAGCTCTTTTCTCCATTTTATATTTGCAGTAGCATTTGCTTTAATTTTTTTTTTTCTTGCTGGTCAATACAGCTTTTTAATTTTTCTCAGATCTCTTTTTTTCTTACATTCTTAAAGCCATTTTATTTTCTTATCCTGCCAATCTTTTCAATTTCACTTTTGATTGTTCTTTGATCTTTGTTCAACTCTTTGCAAATTTCTAATGTTGTATTCTTATCAATCAATACATTTACAATATCTTCATTCTCTTTTGTAGTTATATTGTACTTATGATCTATGGCAATGTTTATATATCTAATATTAAAAAATAAATATCAATAACTATATTTAAAATATGATGAATTGTCCTCAAGTAGCATAATAAAATATCCTACTACCAAATAAGTTATTGTAAATCTTTATAATAAAAACAGATAATATAAACTGAAATTCACATGTTATATTTATCATATAGGCATATATTGAAAATTTGACCAATATTGATTGGTTAATACTTAATTTGATTGTGAAGACACTTTCATAATAAAATCTGATAATGTAGAATGAAAATTATTTTTCAACCTATTGGTTGGCTTATGGGATAATCTGGCTTCAGACCAGTATTATCTTCTTTGTCATTGTACAGGTATTGTGTTTTAGGTTTGTATGGTTTTTCTAAAGACTTTGTTTTAGGCTTGTAAAGTCTTGTATTGAGTGGGATTAGGAACATCCAGTTTCACAATGAAGCTCTGCTGACATCCCTTTGTTGATTGGTATTATAAAACAGTCAAAGTAATACCTTGCCCAAGTGTGGCTCAGAACTGTCCATCAAAGTTTTTTTTATGTATCTATGTATGTGCTGAAAAATTCTCAGTCTGACTAACTTCCTAAAATGTGTATTTCAATGACCAAACATCAGGAATGTTTTTGATTTTTTTAAATCTTTTTTGAAGGGTTATGTACTGTTGGTTGTATGTATGGAATAGTATATATATTTCATGGTTTTAGGTCTTTCTTCTTGATTGGCTGAGAACTTTTCAGCACTTCACAGATGCCTTTTCTTTCTACTTGCTGATATTATTTTGGCATTTTCTTCCATATTTGTCTTGTTTTCTCTACTGACTGGTTAGCTCCAAGACATTTAATCTATTCAGTGCCAATCTTATTCCTGGGCCATGTTGATCCATTCTGTGAAATGATTAAAAGAAAACATGAATCCAGAAATGCCTGGAAGGATTTGAGGGTGGGTGGAAAGAAGATGGTTGGACTCCAATCAAACTAGTGTTTTGGTAGAATAAGCAGCAGATCTCAGGTTGGGGTAGAGGCCTCCTGGTGTAATATTTGGCCCAATGCTGGTGCTATTTATTCCAGTCTTTGATGCCTTCATTATCCTCCTCATAGTCACAGCCTCAAGATTTTCTGTTTAAATTCTCGCCCCCCCCCCTTCCTTGAAGATCAGATATCTGTAAAAATACTTTCTTTATGCTGTAAAAAGAACGCAAATGTGATTCTCCTTTGGTAACCTAAATTATCTAATCAATAAACCTTCTTTTTTGTATATATGCATGAGCTTTCATTATCTAAATGCTTTCTGGACAACAGTCAGCTATGGAATAAAAAGGACAAAAGAAATATGAAGAAAGGTAAAGAACAAAGTAGAAATGGTATTAATCATCTCTAAAAAAATTCTATAAAATTAATTTTCTGTTATTTTTAATAGTTAAGGAATTTCAATGTAAAATATTTTGACCCCCTTATTCTCAGTTTTATTATGAGAACAGAAAATGTTCTCTATAATGGCCTGAGATATGATTATTATTTTGTTGCTCAATTTTAATGACCTATCATATAGGAATTTTATAAAATTCTTTAAGCTTTGATCATCTTTCTGATTTAAAGAAACAGTATAATGATCATAACATTATACTAGAGAATTTTTAATAACGTTTAAAATATTTTGTGAAAAAATACCTTTTGCTA